ACTCTCTCTCTCTCTCTCTCTCTCTCTCTCTCTCTCTCTCTCTCCAACACCTCTCCCATTTCCTTATTCTGGCTCCATTCTTCCTCTGTTCCAAAGACCATCATAACTGACTGTCGGATCCCATCTAAGACAAACACGCAAATATACGAACAAAACAATGAGTGTTTAATTAACAGTGTATTCCTTTCTACGCAACAAAGGGCCATACAGACAAACCAACCAGCCCGTTTTGTGTTTTGTATTGTTTTGCACGCCCCTTTTTTGTAATGTCAAGATACTTAACTTAAGAAGCCACAGCCAATAGGTGGGCGAAAATCCATGAACATTAAGCTCCCCGAAACAACATGTGATCAAAAACACCCAGTGAAAGGATTTGAACAGGGTCATCCAATCCGCTTTATTTTAAATCACTACATCTATCTGATGTTTCATCTTTAAAAACGCTACCTTAAAATTACACCGTTCTTTATGGCATATTTGGCCGTTTTGAGTTACTAAGACCTTGAGATCAAAAACCAAATGTTCTATCTGTTCTATCAAAATCGTAAGATTATTCGGAGTCGTTATCAAAATATTCAAAGAACTGCATTCGAAAAAGGTTAACATGATGTGAGGCTCAAAGTCTTTGACGTCAAATTTCTCAAAATCAGGTACTGTGCAGATAGAACTTTGTAATTCTGAGGAAGTGAAATATCTAACTCTATATAAGGATGTACAGGACACATCGTATTATGTCCCGCCAGTAGTAGACCAAAGGCATTTTTGCAGCACATTTCCAACTATTATACACACTTTAGAAACACGAATTTGCACATTCTATACCACGCAGTTGCCAGCTCTTTTAAATCTCAGATAAAGAATGAAGAATTGAAAAATCTGTTTGGATAAGGAGATGATGTTCCTTTTTGAAAGTACCCCGAAACAGCGAGTCTTCAGGCGCTGTCAAATGACCAGAATTTTTGTTTTCAGTGGGTTAACAGCAACATTACGACCGTCTGTGGTGTGATGATCATGCTCTTTTCCTTTACACGTAAAAGACGGGAATTTGGTGTGGGTCGTATCTGTGGGAGTATATTTAATTAAACCAGCTGGGTACGCGTTCGAAGAACTGACTCAAAAACGTCGGTCGCCAAGTCATTGTGGAAACAGTGCGCACGGCACGTGAACGGCAGCATCACTTGTTTAAAACGGCGTCATAGAAGACTGACTTTCCAAAGATCAGATCTAAACGAAACTAATGAAAACCTGAAAATTAAACTACAGCGACTTCAGGCTCCTCAATGAAACTGTGCACCCTTTAAATGATTTTGAACCACCATTAATTTGGTCAAATTCGAAAGTTAAGTGGTTCGGAAGTTTTAGGCGGCCAAAGTGACGAACTTCCACAAATATAATATATTGAGAAAGAGATAGAGATAGAGATAGAGATTCTAAATAGAGATGCAGATAAATAGTGTTTCCGTCTGTCTTCTGGGCTCATGTAATATTCGATCTTGCCCTGGCTTGGCCTGATAGGTCTTAGTGCTTGCCAATCTGGGCGATATCGCCCACTAGTGGGAGACTTGAAGATTTTGTTGGGTGATAAGGATCACCTTGGTGGTAACATGTATTATTTAATGCCCCGCTAGGAAATACATGTATTTGTAAGTGGGCGGTTAAAATATTTTAGCCTTTTAGAACTGTGGCAAAAGTGGACTCTGGGTATACAAAGGTTTACAAACATATGCCTACTAAGCATTTTAGCTCTAAAGTGGTCTAAATCTTGTCGAAGGGTGGGTATGTAAAAATATTCTTACTATTTTTTTTAAAATAACAAAACAATTATACAAAATGCTCAAATTACAACGTGGGTGGTGGACGTATGGTCTGGTGTGGTTTGCTACCTCTTTCCTATCAATAGCTATCGTCATTATCTCTCACTGGGTGGTTGGCAGGTGTCTAGTATGGTTTGCTCTTTCTACCCCATCAATCGCATATTATATCTCCCCTCCTCATTCTTTTGTATGTTACAATCTAGTAACACCCGTAATCTCCGTGCTGTACTTTCCATGAAACTGTTAAAATTTGCTGAACCCTATCCGTACGCCCTGGGGTCTTTTTGTACCCCCGGGGTTGTATTCTTCACATTTTTGAATACTTCTAGTGCGAAGATCTCATTGAAACTTTCGGTATTTCTCAAAAAATCATTTTGACAGACTGCTATGCAAAGCGTAGGGATCGGATTAACGAGCAAATTTCCTTTTTGGAAAATGGTGGCACAGAGTTCCCCTCGTCGTATGGATGCGATAGTAAAACAAGACGTACGGAATGGTCTAAATCTTGTTGAAGGGTAGATGTATAAAAACATGTATAATAACTCTTTAATAAACGAAACAATTGTACCAATTGCTAAGATTACAATTCATTACATTTCAGATTTGGTGAAGATGAAGAAGGATCCGGCCTAGAGTTGCCCTCTAGAAGAAAGCGTGAGACGGAGCAATGTTCATCTCTGTCATCTGTCTTCGTGTTCAGCAATTGTCAGGACAAAAACAACTACATTTGTCTCTTCAAAGGCAGACCGTCTTCCGTGCCTGTTAGGAGTGAACATCGCAACATCGGTAAACACATGAAAGAAGAAGAAGAAGAAGAAGAAGAAGAAGAAGAAGAAGAAGAAGAAGAAGAAGAAGAAGAAGAAGAAGAAGAAGAAGAAGAAGAAGAAGAAC